CTCCCTCCCTCCCTCCCCCCTTCCTCCCTCCTTCTGTCCCCCTCCCTCCCTCCCCCTCTCTCCCTCCCCCTCCCTCCCTCCCTCCCCCCTCCCTCCCCCTCTCTTTCTCCCTCTCTCCCCCTCTCTCTCTCCCTCTCTCCTATAGCTAAATTATTTGAGTTACTGATGAAGATAGTTGTTGATGAGTCACCAGCTGCTGCCTCCAAACTCTCTGCTGTTGCTTCTTCTTGTCTCGTAAGTTTAGTGGTTGCTCTTGGACAGACTAGCAAGATCCTGTCAGCCATTGCTGCTCTACTGATAGGACCTAATGATTATAATGGACACTATTTAAAAGTAAGAAGATCTTAATGAAAGACCAATGAACTACATGTACATGTATTGTGGATCAATTGTGAGTATAAGGATACTGTGATGTTAATCCTTTTTGATTGAAATGAATTTTTGATCTGAAATGAATAGCGAAACAATCCCGATTCAGTGAAGTGGATTTGTATAAACTGAGCCTAAATTCTCTGTACATGAACGGACATTGTACCAACGAAACTATGATTATAATTAGTGATCAATGTTAATCTCTCTCTCTCTCTCTCTCTCTCTCTCTTTCTCTCTCCCCCCTCCCCTCCTCAGGTACCAGACATATTAAGGTCATTACAAGTATCAGTAAAAGCGGTTCTTATAGGTTCCCCTTACGATACTGACTGGTTTGATCAAGGGATACAAACTAAGAGTCTTGTTGATAAATGGCCACTACCAGGACTGGACCATAAGCCACCCTCTTCATCTCTTGTTGGTTCTATTGCTACCGACTCCAAGTATTTATATGTTCACGGTAGCTTTGGGCTGATGAAGATTGGATCTGGTTACGGTAATACTATAAAGGTAGGTACAATTTGTTCATACATGTACATGTACATGTATGGACTTACACATATTATTGTGTTAAATGTATCATTAAACTATTATGTATTAAACTACATGTATTATTATTATTATTATTATTATTATTATTAAAGAACTTTACAGTATAGTAATATTACAATTAATATTAATTTAAAGTATAGTAACGTTACAGAAATAGTAATAAATGTAGAGAATGAGAAAGATTAAAGTATACTGAGTTAAGATTAGAAACAGGATCTGATCCCCAGTATAAAACAATTAAACAAACAACTTTAATATTTTTTCCTGTTTTTAGGGTCGTCTTTCTGAGTCCGTGAGTGAGTTTCATAACGATGAAGCCGGAAGACTGCTCTTTGCATCTGTAAGGAGATAAATGGGATGTACATGTACACGAAGAAACATGGGGCTACATGTACATGTACAAGATTAATGTTTATTTTTATTGTTTTAAGTAATAACAATAATAATTATAACAAGATTTATACATTTACATGTAATATTTATCTTGTGTGTGTGTTTTTCCAAATGTAATAATGATAATGGGAAATAAAAACTAGAAAAAAAGCATTTACAACTAACAATAAGTGCAATGAATGCTGGAAGAGAGAAAAGTATTAACACAAAGATATGTACATGTACATGTACAGTAGATGTGGATATTGTAATCTTTTTTTCCTTCTCCTCCCTCTCCCCCTCTCTCTTTCTCTCTCTCTTCCACAGGGTAAATTATATTTTGCTCCAATTGGTAAGAGTCTTGTGATAATGATTGACCCTGACACACTCAAGGTACAAGAAACAATGGAACTAGATGGTAAGTATACATGTACATGTACATATACTGCAAGGTGCCTTTTTTCGAGGGCTATGCAATATACCAGACATGGGGTCAAGCACTATGAAATGTACTTAAACACAAGCAAAAGCACTGAAATGTGTTAGAAGTACCAGCACAAGCACAATCCCTAGCTTTAACATAAGTGCTTAAGTACAAGAACAAGCATTCTCCAGAGTGCTTAAGTGCATTAATAAGTACTAGATATTGTCTAAGTGTAACAATAAAGGAAAATAGTTGTTCATTGTACATCTTCATTGTTTTACTTTTATGATGAGTATAAACACACCACATGAGACATATATGTATATGTACTTCTTTTTTAATGTTTAAATTTCCTCTCTCTGTCTCTCCCTAATGATTAGTTGATGCTGTTGGCCCTCATTGTTTATTTACTGATGGAACTGACCTTAAACAGATAGCAGCTAAGAAAGAAGTAATAATAATAATAACAATAATAATAATAATAATGTTAATAAAATGTAATACTTTAAACTTTATTCAGGCATGTATTGTATATACTACATATACATGTATACATCTAGTGCTTCCATTAATACTACAGTACATAAATAATTATGGCATTAGTTATAGTTATAACTGACTCCTCCTCTTTTAATAACTAGGGTGGTTTCTCTCTCCGTAAATTGACCACTATATGTTCACCGATACCAATAGTTGAGGAGAGACCATTACAGCTATCACAGAAGAGCATCATTGTACTGGGCAGAGCAAAATATGACAATCAAGGGAGCTTACATACACTGTGTAAGGGAGAGGGGGAGGGAGGGAGGGAGGGAGGGAGGGTGGGAGAGGGGGAGAGAGAGAGAGGGGGGGGAGAGAGAGGGAGGACATGTTGAAGGTCGAATAATTTTTGTAATATTTTCATTGTTTTTTTGTTAATATATAGATCAAAACAATCTACAAGAAGTGAGCAAACTCTCAGCTGCTAGGAACACAATAATGATATCAACAACAACTGGGAAAGTAAGAGAATGAGAGAGGGAGAGAATTGGAGCTAAGGAAGGGATCATTTAAATATTTTTATGTAGTACCTTTTAAATTACTAGTGCCTAAAATTTAATCATTTTTACTATCATCATCATTGTTAGATCTAGAAATGGTAGGACTAGTTTAACAAAAATAAGAGACCTAGACTAAGTACATGTACATGCATGTGCGTATGTATATGAGATACCAAAAACTGTTAAATGGGAGATTTCAGAGGACCTAATGTACATGTAGATCAAAATGTATGAGTCAAAAGTCTCTTAAACTCCCTCTAGATCTAACAGTGATTATTATTTATACACATGCATGTACATGTAGACGTCATATAGCCATACAATTTTTTAATTACATGTACATGTGCATGTTTGTTTAAATGTGTAATTTTAATTTAACCTTTATTATTATTATACTTATTATTTCTAGTTGTATTATCAAGGCTCTGGTGTTGTAGTAGGTGTGACTGGTAAAGACACTCCCAAGGGCCAATGGACTGAAGTTGAATTGCCTGATGCTAAGATGAAGATAGAGAGTATTGCTGTGGATAATACTGGGAGCTTCTGTGTCCTGGTCACTGATAAAGGAGTGGTCTACTTTGGAGGAGTGAACAGGAAGGGAGAGGCAGGGGAGAATGGTATGTACATATAGTTATGTACATGTACATGTACCATAGTTCTGAGTGCCTATGGTGGTGGGGGGTGGTCGGGACAACCACCTCAACAAATGAACCAACCAGTTCATCACTTAGACCAACCATCCAGTTAATACTAATAACCATACATAAAGCATGATATTGTAGTCTACTAGTATGCTGTACATGAATTTAAAAGGAACACCAACCACCTCTAATTTTATTTTAGGCAGAACCCTGATGTACTATGAATTAAGCTATTGAAAATGTATTAAAGTTGGAGAATTCTTACATGTATTAATGCATGTACTGTAGTATGGGGCAATTTTTTGAGCAACTTTAAAGTTCACAAAAAATCCAAACTTGATTGGAATTATTTCTCTCTCTTTTTCTCTCTCTTTAGCTCCAGTTGGTCGCCAGCAGCCTAAACCAGTTAAATTAAAGAAGTTCAGTAAACTAAAGGACCAGGAGATAACTAGCTGTGCCTGTGGCCCACACACAACAGCATTCATTGGTAAGGACGGGAAACTCTTCATGTTTGGAGCTTTGGAAGATGACCTTGTGGACAAAACTACCGGTAATAGTCACATCACACATGTACATGTTACATATATGTATGTACATGTACATGTACGTGTACATGTACACAAACATGTACATGCATTGTGTGTATGTGGAATGTGGATATTAATAAGACTTTTATTAATTTTAGGTTTTAATGTGCTATTTTATACTGCATGTACATGTACATTTACACGTACATCTACATGTACACATGTTCTTAGGATTGTAACCACATTATTATTTTTTTTACTGTAAACCCGAATAATTTAACAACCTTTATGTTTAATGTTTTTGCAAAATGGTGGGTATATTAATTTTAATGATTTTTGCAACTAAGGTTAACTAAATGCACAATGACAATCATATTTACGTCCATTAACTATAGGCCAATGTTAAAAATACATGTAGTTAATATTGATGGTATTACTATATGTCCTTAGGATTGTAACCACAATATTATTATTATTATCATTATTATTATCATTTACTGTAAACCCAAATAATTTAACGACCTATATGTACATGAATATGTTTAACTTTTTTGTAATTATGGTGGGTATATTAACGTCTATTAATTTTAACGATTTTTACCGCTAAGGTAACCAATTACACATTTTTTTACACATTGACAGTCATATTTACGTCCATTAACTTGAACGAAATTATATGCCAAAGGTTAAAATATTTAAAATTTATGGGTAGTACATACTATTAATGGATTTAAAGTACTTCATTTTATCCTCCCTCTCCTCCACTAGGTGTTGTTACTAGTATGTTAGGAGTCCCTGCCAGTCAGATTGCTCTTGGTAGATCACACACTATCATACTTACCCAGCTAGGGACCATCTATTCATTTGGCAGTAACCAGTACGGCCAGTGTGGGAGGAACTACATACCACCCAGTGAAGGTAGTTACAATTAGCACATGTACAGTACATGTATAATTTATATTTTTACATGTATGTGCATGTATATACAATATTTCTTTCAATTTTATACTACATGTACATGTATGTACAGTTAGTAATTTTTGTGGGCCCAAATTTTTACCCTTGCCACGCGTAGACGTATAGGCAAGGGTATATTTATAAATAGCCATTAAAAATATTTTTGTGTATTTTTTAAATGCACCTTGTCCTGCTGTAGCTTAATAGATTTTCTCAAAATTTGTAAAAATTATCTGAAATTTGTTGCCATAGCTATAATGGTAATTGAATATGGCTTGAAAAATGGCTACACCCATTGCCATTTCACGATGGGATCTAGATCACTTTCCTACTTGTCACTAACAAATGAAGAAATCTTTGTAATGAGGACAATTACTTTGAACCAAATGGTGTTCAGAATCAACAAAAAATTACATGCATGCACACTCTTCATTACATGTATTGTTTGTCTTGGTTTGTTAAAAAGTCACAAACTGTTTTCACTTCTCCTCCAGTGATGCGATACTGAGCTCTTGCTTGTATCTCTGTACCACTGAAATCCATGAATACGTCAAATTCTCTCTCATTATTGGGTAGATTATTAGGATTAGGAACATCAAGTATTAGCTGGCCGATCTTACGTACTGTTAGTTTACCTTGTTTATCTCTGACATACTGAACTCCATCATCTCCTGTACAGTATATAGGAATGCAAGTTTGTGTTTTTTTTTGAGAAGCAGGGAAAAGTGTAGTTTTATACACTTCATCATTTAGTACTTCTCCTTTGAGCACAAATACCTCAAAGACATCTTTACACCATTGTTCACCATCTCCTTCATCTAGATACTTGTAATGCTCATCATGTATTGATGGGTCAAATACAGGAACACATACTATCCCATAGGTAGCATCAGCAACACGTGATTGGATTATGTTAGGATCTTTCCTCCACATTACTGCTCCTGATACAACAGCAAGATCTGGTTGTATAGGACACACTATATTATCATAAAGCTTGCCACGATGCTCAGCAATAGCTTCTTCTATCTTTTGACTAACAAACTTACACCCTCCAAACCCTCCTACCAGATAAACTGTATCAATATGATCTGTTAGCTCATCAAACGCTGCCCTCACACACTCTATTATCTTATCAACTGTGGATTTGAATATCTTTTCTTCTAGTAGGTCATATCCTATGCTTAAAATATCATCTTTTGGATCATAGCACATGTTTGGTTTGCTTGCTTTGTGGAGCTTATCACTACTATAATGCCTGGTGAAAGGTCGTGGTAGTGTTAATCTTATTTCACTAAAGCCCTCGATTGCATTTCCAAATCTCTTTTTTCGCTCTTCGAATTCTTCATAGAAAAGCTTATTTAGCGTAGCTCTGGCACTGATGGGGTCGGATTCTTTAAAAGATTGGAAGCCTCCATCATCTACTGCTTCTTCCAGTAACATTGACAATGCTTCATTGATGGTTGTTCCTCCCCAGGTGTTACCCATTGGTGGTAGTAGGACACTAATTCTCCCATTACTCTTGTCATGTACAGTAATATCAACTGTACCTCCTCCTATATCAACTACCATGTATCTCTGTGGAGGGGACCCTGATACTTCTGACTGATGCTGTGCAGCTATAGCAGCTACTTCTGGTTCTAGAGCTAATGATAGCTTCTCAGGATTAACCTCCTCTGGACGTAGTAAAGGAGAACCAACTGGAGTAAACCCTGTTATACCAGGAGCATCAGAATTCAAACCAGCCTACATTATCATGAAAAATTAATTTACTCATAACAGTTTACTTAATTTACTTAACAGTTAAACATACTCATTATATAGGCGGTAGCCTATATTTAGGATTGAGGTTGATTTTTCAAGATGGCGGCCGTTTTTATGATTTTCAAACACTCATAACTCTTTTATCTTACGTTGCACAGCCTTATAAATGGCTTAAATGAGCTCTCCTTCACTGAGCGATTCTCCAGGTACCTTTAGAGTGGACTGTAATGTAGCAGGAGCATTTCTGGAGAATAGGCCCAAATTCAAACTTCTGCAAAATTCTTCAGACTTTTTCTTCTTTCATCTTCTTCTATCAACACGGATATCTTTTAAGCCAGAGAACGGCTCGAGTTGGCTTTTACATCATTCCTTTGAGCTTGGGTCAAGGACTGGACATGTGGCTTCAAAAAGAAGCAAGGACAGAGAACAATGGAAGACAAATTCCAGCTGCAGCATCGCGTGGGTTTGTGGTTTGACGCCATTTTAATTTATGCACACGTGATTAGCATGAATATGATTAATTTAACCACATAATCATAACAGAAAGTAATTTTATTAATTTAAGAAAAAAGAATGGAAACAAGTAAATAAAAACATTAAAAATAGAAAAGTAGTAGGATTAAATTGTAAAAAAGTAAAGAAACAAGAGGGTACTTGCAAAGTGGTGTGATAACAAATCCTACACCACTGCATGAAAGACATGGCTTCATAGTTATCATGTAGTAGT